TTTCCATTCTAAAATTAATTAAAGTTGAATGAAAACTTTCTATGAATATTATTATGATATTTATAGTATTCAACAAGTGATTAAATTCGAGTATTAGTTATAGATATATCATAATTTTTAGGTATTATTTTTCTAAATCTTATTTATTCATGTCATAATGTCAATCCTTGTTAATTAACAAATTAATTTATAGTAATTGATTTTTGGAAAGAAATGTTAGTTGATGAGGAAAAAAGTTTTTAGTGGCTAACTATAGCCACAGCTAAAAACAAGATATTCGAGAAAGAGTTATAATCAAAGATATTTTATCTTAAAAAATAAAATATATATAATATAAAAAGCATTCATATAATTTATTATGAAAATTATTCATGTAAGCATTTATTCTATATTCTTAAAGAATCAAGCAACGAGAAGGTTTGTTTGATTTAACATATGAAGATTCAAGGTCAAATATAATCAAATCAAAAACTTCATAGAGTTTTGCTCAAATCCTAACATAAAAAGATACTTTCCCCAGTGGTCAAATATAAGTCAAAACCAAGTTATAGAAATTCATTATTTTTTTTTAAAAAGACTATGAATACTCCTAAAAACTAGCAAGAAACCCAATCTGAGATTTTTGAAAATGTTTTGGAGTTGAATGAAGAAATATTCACACACATCATCGAAATTTTTAGATAAGAAAACATATCAGATACTATTGAATATCTTTCAATCTAAGAGAATCAAAGACAGCTTCAATCAAGCATAATAAAATTCAAGAATTCATCAAATGTAGATAAAGGATACAAGTTTGAAGCTTTAGGAAAAGAGATTAACTTAATTCATAATATACTAAAAAATATCAAAGATAGCCACTTCAATGCAAAGGATTTCTCCTCAGAACAATTTTTAGAAATTAAATAAAAGATAATCAGTAAAATAAAAGAAAATAACAGGATCAGATATTTTTTAAAATTTTTAGTTCATTTAACTTCTGTAGATAAGGATTTCATAGCATGTGGATCAAATTCAATTCACTTATTGGTGACAATGAAGGCAAATTTGAGTAATTAGAGTTGGGAAAACATAAGAATAAAGGATACTTCTTTAATTGGTGCAACTTTTGTAAGATGCAACTTTAATGGATCTGAATTTGATGGTGTGGACATTAGCGGAGTAAATTTAAATGGAGCTCAAATGTATAATTGCAGATGGAAGAACATTAAAATAAATGAATTAAATAAATTTGAAGGTCATGGTGATTGTGTATTCTCAGTTAATATCTCTCCTGATGGTTAGATATTGGCATCTGGTGGGGGTGGAAAATATGGTGGTGGTGATTGTTCTATACGTTTATGGAATATTAAAAGAGGGCAATTAAACGCAAAATTAGATGGTCATACTTAACGTGTAAACTCAATCTGTTTCTCCCTTGATGGAAATATGTTAGCATCTGGTAGTAAGGATAATGCAATACGCTTATGGGATGTTAAGACTAGAAAATTAAAAAATAAATTAGATAGTCATACCAGTGTAATGTCAGTCTGTTTCTCTCCTAATGGATATACTTTAGCAGCTGCTGGTAATGATAAGTCTATAAGTTTATGGGATGTTAAGACAGGATAATAAGTAAATAAATTAGATGGCCATTATGGATATGTAAACTCTATATGTTTCTCTCCTAATGGAAATACTTTAGCATCTGGTAGTGAAGATAACTCTATACGTTTATGGGATGTTAAGACTGGATAATAAAAAAATAAATTAGTTGGTCATACTGCTAGTGTCGTGTCAGTCTGTTTTTCTCCTGATAGAAATAATTTTGCATCTTGTAGTTATGATAAGTCTATACGTTTGTGGGATCTTAAGACAG